ATGGTACAGTTAATGGTGCAGTTTTCTGTTCATAAGCTATCAACCAGTAATCAAGGAGAGCCTTAGAGAGAAATGACAAGTACATGTGATGAAAGGCTGCTGGATTAGCTGAGGAGAGCACTATGCCAATTACATTTTTGTGCAATTGTAGGGTCCTGCATAGGCAGATGGACCTTTGGGACTCCTTTGGCAGGACTAGAACATTAAAAGTGTTTATAACATGCCAGTATGCCCTGCAAAACATCATAGACACCGTTTCTATCTTTTTCTTGTAAAAGGAGAGTAAATTGTTTTATTTCTCCTCTGGGAAATATTCCAGAATCCTTTTGAAGTGCTTTTGTTGCATACTGCAGCTGTGGTGTTTACAAGATTTCCATAACTCTCTGCAAGATTTGTAAGTGAGAGGAATATGACTAACTGTATTCCTACTGACCCCTTTTGCCCCTGAGTAATTAGGCCACAATCATTGCAGTCATTGGAGGTTGCTTTTATGGGGAAGGAAAATCAGCAATAATGGACTCCTTTTTTTCTTGGATGCTGTCCTGCAGATCTCTAGAGAACCTTTCTCAGTTTCTGTGCTCATCAATGCAGTGCAAACACGTGTCCAGAGGCAGCCTCCTTGCTCACAGACTGAGTTTCTTTCCACACTGCATTCTGCCAAAAGATATTCATTCTTAGCCATCCTTCCAGAAGCACAAAAGGAGCTGCTTTTTTAAGGCTGACTTTGAGGGCTGGTAATTTTTTCCTGATAATTTTTTCACACTTAACCTTGCTATAGCCATCCACAGAACAGTGCAGAACAGTGCTGCCTGTTTCCAGGCTGTCGAAAAGTGGAGTATTTGTTATTCCTTTGTTCAGGATGCCAGCCTGAGCAACAGTTATGGGGGTGCACTAGAAAGGACCTGCTATTTCCTTTCAGCCTGTGCTGCTCATGAATTAAAACCCACTAGCTTCAGTCACCTGCACACCAGGTTGCAGACTGAAGAGCTCATGACTTTTAACTCCCCTTTAGAGTGTGAAGGTGCTGCAATAATCCTTTCCTGGATTTCACTGTGCTGCATATTGTACAAGACACAGCAAGGACAGAGCCTCTGCCTCAAAGAACTTAAAACACAAGTTTTGTCTTCAGCAGAAAATAAACTTTTGCACATGTTTTTATCTCAAAGTTACCAGTCATAAAATCTTGAAACAGTCATAGGTCTTGGAATGGTTTGGTTGGAAAGGACCTTAAAGACCATCTAATTCTAATACTCAATGTGATCTTGAACACTTGCGGGTACAGGGAGTCTACAACTCCTCTGGACAACCTGCTTGAGTGCCTCACCACCCTCATAGCAAAAATATCAGTCTTCATAAATTATAGATATCAGTATTTATAGATGATATTAAAGATTTATAAATTATAGTAAGGAAAACAATCAGTTATTAAGCATTGCACAGGTGGAAAATCTGCTTCTGTATCATCTTGCAGTTTTATTTTACTGGCTTCTGTAAAAATAAACACTATATAAAATTTACTATTTTTGCTATTTGCTCAATTAAGATTAATATACAGCAAGGTATTGGTTGCATCTGTCATGTTTTATTTTTACCAACCCAATTCTTATCAGTAAAAGGTTCTTTTTTACTGAAAAATCTCTTTTACTTGTTCTAACCAAAGAAAAACAGTTTCTTTATTGCAGGAAAATATTTCCATTGCATCACTTAGCCATAGCTGAAACACACTGCATTTGTTGCCTCATCCAAAGAGGACTTTTTTTTTTTGCTTTGAATAATATGAATTTAACATCTTATCTTAATGCACAGTTGTGTTTAAAATTTAATAAATTTTTCACATAAATTCCCAAATTAATGTGATGTGTATGAAAGTACTAGTCATAATAATCCTTTACTCTTTGCCAAGGGTTTTGTTACTACCCTAACTTATTACATCAGAAGTTATTAAGTTCCTCAAGAGTCATGTGTTTTCTGCAAGTCCATTGCTCTAAAGGATAAGTAAAAGATTTCATTTTCGAAGCCACAAGTCATAGTTCAAATGGAGGGTACACAAAATAAAGAAATGTTGGGAAATGAAATAAATGGAATTTAGCACTACAGCTGTCAGGGAATGTTTTTTCTATATGTTCATCTGTTTGAGCTACAGATACAAGTTCCAGCAGAGAGTGACGTGATTCTAGTGGAAGGTATGTTCAGTCAGTCTCTGCTCAGAGGGCTGCAGAGCAGTGCATACAAAGAGGAAAAGAGGAGCAGGGATCCTCCATAGCCCCCTTCCTTTCAGTTGGGCAGTATGAAACAGGGAAATAATTAAGTCAAAATTATACACTTGAGAAGTACCATGGATTTAATTGCAGAACTCACCATCTCCGCTCAGCTCCTCCTCTAATTGTTCCTAGAGCCCAGGTGACTGGACGGAACGCTGGAACAATTTGGCCCTGGCAAGAGCAGGACCAGCCCATGTGCAACATGCAGGCACCCTGAGTCATTCCCACCACAGCCATGAGGAAAATGATGCCTTGAGCTCTCAGGTGGCCCATCTGACCTGCAGCTCCTCCTTGGAGACCTCCACAAGGAGACACAACACTGGCCCAGCCAAAACCTCAGACACAGAAAACTGCTGTGATGGCTCAGGAAATTTTCTTACGTTTTAGAGGCCAGGGTGGTTGGCTGATGCCAGGGAGGGCACCTGAATCTGTGTGCAGACTGAGGGAAGTGCCTGTCAGGCAAGGCAGCCCGGGTATGGATGGGTGATCAATAAGGGGAGAAGGGAGAAAGGAAAGCCACCAGCTAGGAGGCTGCATTGAGTGTAAGCTAGGAAACAAGACAATAAACATATGGACCCAGACCTGTGAAAAACAGTCCGGGAATGATATAAGAACCTTACTGAACACTTTTGCCCACAGAAAAAAGGAGCAAATACATCTTATCATTTGTTTTGGTGGTAGTGATAGTGGTTGTTGACTGGGTTGGGTTGGGTTCAGTATACAACTCTTTTTGGACACACTTTTAAGAACTGTTCAGCCACAGTGTGGAAAAAAGATGTAACAGTCTGTGCTGTCCTGCATGGTGAGAAGAAATCATGAACTACTAGAAAAGAAAAAACAGTTCATCACACTAATCTTGTCAGAATCCTATATCCTAAGCTATCAATAAACATATATTTTCATGAACACAAACCTGCACTGCAAACATTGAAACAGAACTAAATACACACGTTTGGGTAATTGGAAATTGGCAACAGAAGGTTGTCTGGATGACTGAGATTTTTCTGATTCAGAGGGGCAGTCCAGACAAATACAAAACATGCAGTCCCCTATCTGCTGAACTGCAAAAGTGTCTCTTGAAAGAGATGAGTGAATCCTAATGATGTCTTGTACAGCCCAGGTAGTCAGCTTGGAAAACATCTCCAGAAGTTAAGGGAAATAGCTATTCTCCTGTGGCCACAGATGGTGACTGTTACTTTGCCGTCACTGCTATGACCTCAGATTTCCAGGTAGCATGTGGTGCTCCCCAGAAGCAGTGGGTCTCTGTCAGCACAGCACTGCCTGCCACTCCTCCAGGCCCTTATTCTCCTGTGGCCACAGACGGTGACTGTTACATTGCCATCACATCAGATTTCCAGGTAGCATGTGGTTCTCCCCAGAAGCAGTGGGTCTCCGTCAGCACAGCACTGCCTGCCACTCCTCCAGGCCCTCCTGGATTGTGGTGACAAGGAGGTCCAGGTGGAGGACCTCACTGCTGTCCCTAAGAAAGCAAATGGTCATGAGACCCATTCAGAAGAGGAGCAGCATCATCCCTCATCAGCTGGCACTCCCGTAGTGGACACAACATGGCTCCCTCCACCATCTGCCCACGGCTTCCCAGAAATGTGTAGCCACAATCCCTTGTCAAGGTCTCTGTCTGCAGCCTTGTCTGAACCATGCATAGGAACCACTTCACCAGCTCCATGTAGCTCCACATGTCAGTTTGTTATTTCATCAAAATAGAGCAAAGCTGTCACTTCACAAAGTGGTAAAGACAGTATCCCTGGTACCCTACAAAAAGAATCTCTGCTGCCACAAAAGCTTGCACTTTCCAAAAGAATTCATTCAGAGCTGGGGCCTCTTTAAAGCGTAAATGACTTTGGCTTAGAAGAGAGACCTGAGAAAACTTTAAAAAGTTTGATCAAAAGGAATTAATCCAAATTGGAGCTAGATGTTACTGTCTTTTTCACAGCTCTCCTTTGACCCCCAGAACAAGTGGGTTGTTTCAGTTCTAAAAAAACCTTATCAAATTACTGAGTTTTTAAGGAAATATTTCATTTTTCGGTATTTTTTGGAGTACTATTATCATAATTCTCTTCTACTTTGTGAGGGCTTTAATTTGTTTTAATTTAATTTACAGACTCACAGAATCACTAGGTTGGAAGATCATCGAGTCCTACCCATGCCTTAACACCTCAACTAAACCATGGCACCAAGTGCCACATCCAGTCTTCTTTTAAACACATCCAGGGATGGTGACTCCACCACCTCCCTGGGCAGACAATTCCAGTATTTTATCACTCTTTCTGTAAAAAGCTTTTTCCTAAAATCCAACTTATATTTCCCTTGACACAGCTTGAGACTGTGTCCTCTCATTCCTTCAGTTGGTGCTTGGAGAAAGAGACCACCCCCACCTGACTGCAGCCACTGTGCTTGGAGAAACAGACCACCCCCACCTGACTGCAGCCACCTTTCAGGGAGTTGTAGAGAGTGATAAAGTCACCCCTGAGTATCCTTTTCTCCAGGCTAATTTAATTTAATTTAATTAATTTAATTCAATTTCATTACTTTAGTTCATCTCATTTATTAAATTTGAAATCCTTCACACTGATAGGTGCTGAAAAAAATACCCAAAAACCAGAAAGAGCTGGGAATTTTTGTTCCCCTTTGCTTCTTATATCCTAACAGTAACATCTATCTTTGCCTACTTAAATGCAAAATGTTGGTCAAGTGCGTGACTTTCTCTCATTTGTCTAACAGGTAAGCTGCAAAGTGCTGCAATTCTTTCATCAGTACATGCTGGGCTGCAACTACTTCTGGATGCTCTGCGAAGGCATTTATCTTCACACGCTGATCGTGGTGGCAGTGTTTGCTGAAGAGCAGCGTTTGCACTGGTATTACCTCTTGGGCTGGGGTATGTATGTCACCCTTTGTAGCAAGGTGGTCAGTACACTCAGATTTTTGAATTCTTCTAGCACTTATGTCTCATTTACAATCTAGTTAATATTGTTAGATCATAGCTTAAGGCTGAGTTCTTGAACCCTTAATTTGAGTGCATATAGCAACATGGGCTTAGAAACTTACAAAAACAGCAGAACAAAGTATTTTTAATTTGCTGCATGTTGGGATTTGCAGAAAGAAATACTTAAGATCTGTTAAGAAAAGCTATGGGAGAAAATATATTTCTATTCAAGTATACTTCTTTTCTGAAAGAAAAAATTTTTATCTTTGTCACATGTATGCAAAAATATGAATGTGTGACAGTACCTATAAAGTATCATTTTCCTGGAATCAAGAGGAAAGATCAGTATCTGTGTCTCACAGAGTGAAGCACTACACAGCATACAAAGGTTTTTATTTTTGTCACATATATGCAAAAACATGAAAGTGTGACAGTACCTATAAAGTATCATTTTCCTGGAATCAAGAGGAAAGATCAGTATCTGTGTCTCACAGAGTGAAGCACTACACAGCATACAAAGAGGAAGCAGAATTTCTCTGGAAGTGAATGCAGTATCAAATACATTTTTGCATATGTTGTTTTAAAAGAAAAAAAATTATTTTACCTACTAAGTAGGTCTGTCAGGACTGGTTTTGTCCAACAGCATGTGGTCACATGCATACTGCCCAATTGATTTTACCTACTAAGTAGGTAATGGCTTTGCTGTCAGGACTGGTTTTGTCCAACAGCATGTGGTCACATGCATACTGCCCAAGAACCATGACTAGGTTTGGTTCTTCATCTCCGAATATGCATTCTCCTCTGTTTTCTGTTTTCCTAAGGGATCCCTTGCCTTTTTAATGGGTAGCAGCAGATATTTTTCTTTGGACTATCTGGTCCAATAAAAGACCATATAAATATAATCAGTATATTACAATTAATCTTTTGCATTTAAATCACTCTTTTAAATCCAGTCCACATCAGTGTTGACAGAAAATCAATGTCAAGAGCTTTTTTTCAATTTGGCAACCATGAATCTCTGGCCTCATTCCAATTTCTGGTAAGGCATCTCCCCTATCTTGAAACCACTGGTGCAGCAAAACAGCAAATAATGGACCTTTACACACTGTCCCACTGCACACAGGGATGTTCCTGCAATCCTGTCTGAAGCAGGCACAATTTATTCTATATTTGCCATCTTCTTTGGTGAAGTTGTACTTTTTCAAGATTATTTCATTTACAGCAGGAAAAGAGAAAAATAGTCCTATTGCTTAAACCAAGAAAAATTAGGAAATTTTCGATTGGATAAATAGATAATTAGATAACTAGGTAATTAGATTAAAGGAAAATTACCCAGTTCGATACATTCTGAAGAAATTCAAAATACGATCTTAAGACACAAGTTAGGCATCTGATATTTCATCTTAAATAGGCAGTATCAGCAAAGTTATCCCCTATCTGGATTTTCATTTTAAAATCTGGTCATCTACTTTACTCTTACAATAGAAGGCATAGTGCATTCTGGATGCCTACATTACAAACCAAGAAAATTAACATAATTTTTCTAGTTTATATACTTTGTAGTGCCAGATATCAGTCTCCAGGCATGTAATAATTTGTCTTTGATGGTTTTTGTTTGTTTGTTGGGTTTTTTCTTAATGAGAACACCAGCATGCACTCTTTTTTCTTATGAGAATGGCATCTTTTCTAAGAAGAGAGGCACTTCTAATGCTTTTGGAATTATAAGTATGTGAAACATTATCAGCTCTTAAATGAAGACAACCTTCCTGAAGAGCCCTAAATCAAGTTAGAGTTTCTGGACGTTGCCAAAATCCAAATAGCTGAGTCCTCTCGGAGCAAGCAGCTGTGCTACCACAAAAAATCTCATAGCTCAGAATATTTCAATATAAAAAGTCTCATAGGGATGTGAAACAGCAACCCAATGTGACAAGTCATTTTAAACATTTGCTTCCAGACAAAGCTTTTTCATGTCTCACAGAATAAGGCTTCCCAAAATAGTGTCACTCTATATCCAATTGTGGAAGAGCAATATGGTCACAGACATTTTTTTTTTTTCTGGTCCCATTCAATTTAGGCAGTGCAATTTAATGCACCTGTGACATCCAGCCTGCAATCTCAGCTAATGAGCCAGCTGTAGTAGTGCTGAGAACAGCACCAGAAGCATAGTGGGGAATTCAGGGAAGTTACCTGATAAAACACACATCAATATCTGAGAGCTGCCCCAAAAACAGAGGGTAGTGGCAGTGGTAATAGGGCAGTGATATCTTGAGGAGGAAAAAGTTATTAAAAATGGACATAACTCTTGACAATGGTGTCTGCAGTCTTTTTTATTAAACTAGATGAATACTTACACGTACACACACGCAAACTGGAAAAAAAACCAAATACACACACGCAAACTGGAAAAAAAAAAAGGGAAAAAAAAAGAAAAGAAAAGAAAAAAAAAGAAAAGGAAAGAAAAAAGGTGATGATTAGCACCTCCTAACTAAAGTAGACAGAAATATTATTATACTATTATTATTAGCAAAATGGTCTGATTACAACAATCTGGTGACCCCTTAAGTTGTATGAATCACTGTAATTCCATTGATTCCAGAAGGAGTGGTAATACAGTCTAACTTTAAACATCCATCTATGTTAATCAATGGACAGAGACACATTTCTCCAAAGAGCAACACAGAGGAACCAGAGCAGGCTGTGCTCGGAATTACAATTCAAGAGACCAAGGCAAATGTCCAAAACAAAGCCACTCATTATTCATTGCTATTGCTAATCTCTATGCAAGAAGATCTGTCCTACTTTATTTGGAGAAACCACTAATGACCACTATTTGTAAAACAGTCTTATAAGAAAACTAAAAATCTGAACAAATATAAAAATATCTACAAAAGGTCTGAGGCGATTGAATGGAATTTGGCATGGGCAGATGTATTCCGAGGCTGATGCCATCAGCTGACCCCTTCTCTGGGATCCATTGCTGTGGATGTCATTTCTTATTTGTTATTGTTTCCCTGGGTCAGGAAATCACCGTTGGGCAGGACAAGGAAACAGTATCAACAGTGTGCAAGTGTACTGCTCATTCTGGCTGCTTCAGGCAGCTTCACCCACATAAAAGTGAAAAGGGAATAACTTCTTTGGACAGTGCTGAAACTTGAGTGTCTTCCAAACTGTACCGGGAATACTGACCTAATTGCTAGTTTGTGCTGTAAAGGCAAGACCTGGCATGACCTAAAGGGATGTGTCCTATCAGTCCCTGGGATGGCTGGGGACCTTCTCTGCAGTATTCACTGCTCACCGTGTGCAGGTGGGACCGTGGTACATGTAACCACAACCCCACAGTCTTTGATGCTCCACTTCTCTGCTACTCTCTGCTTTTTGGCCCTTTACATGAGCAACACTGAGCCCTAGAACAGCCCATCCAGCCTGCACTTGGAAATCTGAGCTTCAGAGAGTCATGAACTTCTTAGCCTGTAACCAGCTAATGAGGACTTTCCACTTTCTTGAGATTTGCTTTTGAGTTTGTTGAGCCAAATATCCCAGACTAATGCATTTAGCAGAAGAAAAAAGCTATTTTTACATCATATGGCATGTTCTACGTGCAATAATTCAGGCCACAGTTTTCAGCTGAAGAAGTTTTGCTATTACAGAAAGGCCCCTTAAAAATTGTATTTCAATCTTCCAACAAAACTGGCCTGGACTTGCTCCATTTCCCAATCAAAATTATTTTCTCAAGCTGTCAATCCCATGAGCTCACCCTGAGGTCATAAGCTCCTTTCTTTTCATTCTGAGCTTTTTGTTGTTTTGCTGCGCATCATCACCCAAAATGGTAATTCTGCAGCCAGAGGCCTAGGAATCACTTTCTAAAAACATATAAAGGAGAAGGCAATCCAGTTTGTTCTCCCACAGCTGCACTGTCCTCCCAAGGAGAATTCTAGTAAGAACTTTTTTTTTTTTTTTTTTTTTTTTTTTTTTTTTTTTTTTGGCAGTAGAGTAAATAGCTATTAGCTATTGCTTCAAGATGCCTGGAAACATAAGTGTCCTGTTTATGTATCTTAGGACCTATAAGTGTCCTGTTTATGTATCTTAGGACCTTGTTTTCACTCCCCACAATATGGCTAAGGATCCTCCATCTCTTCTAAATATTTCTATGAAACCACTAACATGTGAAAAAACCAGGAGCTACGATCTTTTAGTCCCTCCATGATTAATCATGGTATCAATAGGATATTTTCACACATTTTAATTTATAATTGTAGAATATCCAAAGCTCAGTAGAAATGTCCGTGGTTCATAGAGAACAGGCAGCAGTAGCACCAAAGGTGTGTGCCAAGCTCTCTGCACAGGACAGACAAGGCAGCAGATCGTGTCCAGCTGTCTGTATGTGCAAGGCTGCACAAACTGGGCTCAGCACCGTGGCAGAGGCTCCCCAGTTCCAGGCTTCTAGCATATTGGAAAGGGATATGACTTTTAAGCAAGCTGAAGGAAGAACCTTTCAAGCTGGGAATAAGAACCTGAGCTTTCCATTTTTTTAAGCATGGCATGTTGCCAAGCCCAGTGCAAATTTTCTCCCATCAGGTCCCCATCAAAGCCTCCTCTGAGGTGTCACACATAAGTCAGATTATGTGGATTTATGGTAGTCACATCTCTTCTCCCTGTGGAGATAAAGCTACATGGAGTGGCTTGGCTGCACAGATGCTGAGAACCTACAGAAGATACCACAAATTCCCATTACCCAAAAACCTCCTAGCTCCAAACACTTTCTCATGACATTGGCTCCAAAAGAGAAACTCTTCACTCTGTTTCTTATTGCTCCATAATCTGGCATGCAAGTCAATGTGCCCTTCTCTTGCTCAACAGTTATTTACATGATTTTAACAAGTGTCCCTGGTTCCCTGAGGGAAGACTCCTCTGAGAACAGAATGATCCCTACATCCTTCCCACACTCCCTGCTCACACCCTTCCCTGCAAAAGCCACAGCAGTGCAGGGGAGCCTGGCAGCAGCTCTGAGACACTACAGGACAGCCGGGTCTGTGGGTTTTGCTGTTCCTTTTGGCCTGCCTTGAATGTTAATCTCTTTTGTATCTTATCATTGAGGTGTTGCCAGGATCTGGGTGTGATGGGATAAAGTCTTTCCTGAAAGATGTGATTTCACATCCATATGTTTTGTGAACAACAGACTTATTAGTGTGTGACACACATGAAATTCAAGCTAAACAAATACCAAGACTGATCTATAAATTTAATCGTTTCAGGGTTCCCTTTAGTGCCAGCATCCATTCATGCAGTTGCAAGAGCCAGATACTTCAATGATAAGTGAGTAGCACATCTGTTTTTGAAGGAATTTAGCATTGTTTAACTGTGCAGCAAATTTTATTCAAGTTAATAACAAATGTTCATGCTGTATTTCTCCTCCAGCTGCTGGATGAGTGTTGACACACACTTGCTTTATATTGTTCATGGACCTGTAATGGCAGCTTTATTGGTAAGAATATTGTTTGCTATCAACAGTATAATAAGTATTTTAGAAAGGTTGCTTACCTGAACAAAATCTGAAGCTTCTGTACTATAAGCATTTTGGTCAAAACCCAGAAGTAAGTAGAGGTTTTCCCTACTCAGTGTTATAAAGGACAGGCTCACAACACTTTTTTCCTGTGGGACTTGACAGGAATACTCTGCATTTAAGTGACATCAATCATTTAACTGTGCCTTAGCTGGGGTGAGCTGGTTGCTCAGCATGGGTTCTTCTGGTCACTGAGCTGGTATGTTCCAAAGGTAGGGAAATAAAGGAGTCCAGGGAAAGAACTCAAGCTGGGCTGTTTGAGTAGGAGGACAAGATTCCAAGTGCAGCTTGGCAATGTGCATACATAAATCATCTGGTATGCCATTTGTGCAGTTGGGCATGGTAACCCTGACCTTCCTGACAGGTGCAGAAAGGGTTTTACTCAACCCAAGCCCCAAGCTCATGTCATTGTGTCACCCAAGATGCACTTTTGTCTCTTTATCTGCCTCTTACTTGCAAACACCTGCGTGGACGTACTTGCAATAATTGCCTCAGAGAACAATAGCACAGTTAGTACTTGGAAAACTTTGAATAAATACCTTTCCATATCATAGCTGAAAAAACAAAAAATCTTTCTACCTTTAGTGGAGAAGTAGTCCTTAACATCAGCTATGTGAAATAGCCCATCCTTCCCTGCCTTATAAGTAGTCTGTTGGTCCCATACAATCACATTTATTGTGGGTTTATTGGTTCAACTGTATCTGTTATTGTAATGCCAATTGCCATATGAGAGAGGCCATTTAACCTTTATTTTTGTCATTGTGATCCCAGTCTGTATATCTCGGCCACAAAGAAAAGAGAAGCAACTATTATGGAAAAAGAGCAATCTTTAGCTGTTTTCAAAATAAGACATTATTATTTCTGTATTGCGCTTATGCCATTTCCAGTCTTATTTTTCTTATGAAGATGTCAATGTCTACAGTATATCCTGCTTGATTTGCTACAAAAAATCCCATAGTGGCAGACTGATTCAGAAGAGCTGAGGGTTTTTAACTTTGTGAAGTCTTTCTTTGACTTTTTAGTTACTTTCAGAAAATCTAAAAGTGAAGGTTAAGCAGAGTGAGTGAAGTCAGACTAGGATGGAGAATAAGGTTTAGATTTAATGTTGACTGGGACCTCAGAAGTAATTTATTATTCCTCTTTTCTAGTAGAGCACAAATGTAAAACAGTTGAAAGGTCTCCCAGTATAGTTTAAAAGTGATGAAAAGTTTTACCAGAGCTTGCTGATTCACTGTTCTGAAAAAATTCAACTGAAATTTCTGATAGAGAGATAGAGAGATAGATAGATAGATAGATAGATAGATAGATAGATAGATAGATAGATAGATAGATACATAGATACATAGATACATAGATAGATAGATGGATGTGTGATTTGTGCTCTTGAAATATATGTGGAAGTTATACATTTGCATACTTATTTCAAAAAATTAACAGGAAAAATAAAGACTATTAAAGTTTCAAAGTGTCAGTGCCTGATTTTACTGTAGCAGAGTGGAAATGAGTGATCTGAGCACACTGGAGACCAAGGAGTCTGTGATCCAGGGACGTCCACAGGGTAACCACTGAACTCATTACCAGCCTGGGTCTGCCCTCCCTCTTCCTGCAGGCTCTCAGCACGTCCCACAAGGAGCTCTCTGTGAAGCCAGGGTCAAGGGCAGGTTACTTTATGCTGAGATCAGATTTCCAGAAATAACTGAGAGGAGATGCTGAACTACTTGGTATCACTGATCATAAGGATCAGGGGCAAAATTTTCTGCCCTGAGACAGCAACAGTTACCTGTTCCCTGTGGGTAGAGTACCACGGGGTCCCTGCAGTCTGGTGGAGACAAGAGATGCCCTAGGTTTTCCTCAAAAGGAGCCTTACACCCCTGCTCACACACAAGTCTGAAGCATTAGTGCATGGAGCATATTCCTTAGGGAAATTGTGTGCTCCCATAGGTCCCATGTGTTGGGGACATACTGGAGTTTATCCCAACTGGCAAAAGAGCTTGGCAGTTGTCAGGACAGAGATGTGGTTATTTCTAGGGGACAATTTGTCCACCCCATTTAAACTTCCAGTATGAAAATAATATTTAGTGTTCCCTGGAAACCCTGAATTTGCCCACATCAGTGTCAAAACATCCAGTGCATCCTAGAACTGACCCCTGCCTGCCTGAAGTATCCATGCAGGCTCCAAAGCATGTACAGCTGCTTAATAGACCTTTCCTGAAAATATTCAAAATATTTTCCAAGACGTGACTGCCAAGGAACTGCCCATTATAAGATACAATAAAGCTAGAAAGCTACACTTTATCGTCATTTATGTGTTTGACATTTTTATTTGGAATGTCTGTTTAATTTGACTGCTTTCACCTACAATAGCTTTGTTTTTGCAGGTCAATTTTTTCTTTTTGCTGAACATTGTCCGAGTTTTGGTGACAAAGCTGAGAGATACCCACCGTGCTGAGTCCAACATGTATATGAAAGCTGTCAGAGCTACTTTAATCCTGGTGCCCTTACTGGGAATTCAGTTTGTTATTATTCCCTGGAGACCAGAAAACCGACTTGCTGGAGAAATCTATGATTACATCATGCACATACTAATGCATTACCAGGTATGGAGCAGCTTCAGTGTAGTTGAATTTTTTGATGTTAAGCTAATTTTCTCGAAGATACTGTTGCCAGGGGTTTTGCCCTGAAGCTGAAATAACTGGGTTTGCAGTTATTTTCCAGCCATTTCACAGTATTGGATTATCTGCATTTACACAAGCAGCACCACTGTGTAGAGAACAGAGACAAGATAGAGGAAACAATGTAATAAGTCACCAAAATTATCAGTTCACACTATATCTAAACTATGGAGAGAAAACTGAGTTCGCAGATGGCTTTTATGTTCCACCACTACTTCTGTTGAAGTGCTCAAATTGACTAAAACTAGTGCTGTGACCTTAATATTAAAATAAGCAGTCTTAGCAGACTGTTGTTCAGAGGGAATGCCAACACACAAAAGAAAAACCAGAGAACACTAAGCTTCATTTAGGAGTTATAATTCCATTATTAGGCAGTTTAAATTATCAGGCTGACATTTTGATTTCAAAAACACTCTGAAAAAAAAAAACATCATTCAGTAAGTCTAGTTTTTGGGGTGTTTTTAAACAAAACAAGCCAAACCAAAATGCATTTAAATGCTGGGCTATCTGGTACACTGACTGAAATATATCCAGACCTATATTAACTAGGAAAGGCAGCTTTTCAATGCCTTTGTGAGTAGTGGTCAACATGAGTGAATATGGTGACCAACTTCTTGCTTCCATTTATATGGAAGGAGGAAGTGGAGAAATTATTTTAATGTTTTAATAAGAAGACAGCTTTAAAAATCAGTAGTGCTTTTTCCTTAAATGAAATTATAACATATGGAAGGAGTAAGTGGAGAGATTATTTTAATGTTTTTATAAGAAAAGAAGACAGCTTTAAAAATCAGTAGTGCTTTTTCCTTAAATGAAATTGTAAATAAGGCTACCAAAATCTATGAACCCTGCCAGATTATATAGCCTGCTTATCATCCTTATCCCTTCAAAACTGTGGGTGCTCCTGCTGCTGCATGGGTAGAATAACTAAAGTTATAGGTCTGCTTTTGAAGTGTATGACATCTTATATTACAGTTCTGCTTAAAAGGAATGACAGCTTTGTTTCTTCTATTGTTGCCTGTATTGCTACTTTTTCATTTACAAGAGTTATAAAGGAATATCTCCAAATTAGTTTTTTGGTGACAAGTTATTTGATTGCAATTCTAACAAGTTAGGATAAGACAGAGTGTTAGAATAGTCACTTTATTCTTAAAACATCTTTTAAATTTCATGCAGTTGGAGCATTGCAAAACCGGTTATAATTGTCTTAATTAAAAATTCTAATTGTGATCATTATGTAACAGAAAATCACCAAACTTAGGTTAAAATGGAGGCTGCACTGATGAAGGGGGTTGGGTGAGGGAGGGATCCAAGGCAGGAAAGTTTCATCCCTGATGGGTTCCTTCTGCTCACACAGAAGAACTCTTGACACCTCTGCAGTATAATCTCTGTGTGCTGGCTGCTAGAATTTGGCCTTTTTTGTAGGGCTGTGCAGTTGTCCTGCTGGCTGCAGCCAACTGCAATCCTCCCTTTTCCACTTAGATTGGATTTTTAACCAGTAACCTAAAATAAACATTCTTAATCTTTTCCCTAACTTCTTTTGTATGCATATTTAAGATCGGTCGCCAGCTGTATAATCACTCCTCTGGTGTTCATTTTCTTCTAGGGCTGGTTCTCTAATTAGCAGATACTGTATTAGCTTGTGTAATGGCTGTGTTTCCCCTCTAGCTGTTGTGCTCCCATGACCCACAGCACAGCCAGCCTGTGCAGACACCAGCCAGAGTCTCTGGGGTTTTGCAGCTCATGGCATTCAGTCATATACAAGCAGGCATCCTGGGAAAAATTACCCATCTTTTTTTGGTGCAAAATGTTATACATTCTTCATTTCTGCACTGCTTAAATGAGAAAGTTTCATGCCTTTTCTATAACAGAGAGGCAGATTTTCACAGTACATGATTTCTTTAAGCAAACATGAAGGATTGATGTGTTAGTTATATAATTAATGTATGCAGAAATGGTGCAAACAAGCACTGCAGTCTATTGTAAAACTCAGAGGATGGAAGATAAGAAAGAATTTGTTCACAAGACAACCCCATGTAATGGTATTTCTTTTAGAGAATGGTTTTCCAGGTTGAAAAACAGCACACCAGTATTTTATATTATTTTATTTTACTTTATTTTATTTCTCAACAAGCTGGGTTTACTCTGCTGAAGTCACTTCTGAATAACAGCAGAAGTCTGGTTTTCATCTGACCCACTCTTTTTGTGATGGTATCATCACTGGTCAACAGTTTAAGCAGAAGCTGGTTTTCAAATGTGGTTATGAGCAATTCACAAACACTGAATGTCTACTGCATGTGTCTTTCACACAATAGGCCAGATTCTTCTTAACACATCTAAAGAACAGATACCTAAATGATAAAAAAATGGAAGGCTGGCTTTTGTGCCGCAAATGGGAATGCACACACTTTTCCTGACCAGCTAGTCAACTTCCCATTAATCCTCTAAATGTGAAGGTTCATATATCTTCTTACCATCACCAATATCAGCTCTTTAGTCTCCAGAATGCTAAAATTAAAAGTACACCAGGCAAGAGAAAGACATTTCAGACATTACATTGTGGTTTAAGCCCAGCTGGCAATTCAGCCCCACAGAGCCACTCACTCACTCCCTGCACTGGCATGAAGGAGAGAACTGGAAGGGTAAAAGTGAAAACAGGGAAAACTTATAAGTTGAGATAAAGACAGTTTAGTAGACAAAGCAAAAGCCACACATGCAAGCATAGCAAAATACAGAATTCATTCTCACCTTCTCATGGCCAGGCAGCTGTTCAGCCATCCTCAGGGAAGTTGGGCTGCAACACACGTAAAAATTTACCTGGGACCAAAAAAAGCCAGCAATCCTAACATCCCTCTTTTTCTTCTTCTCCCACTTTATATGCTGATCATGATGCCATATGATCTGGGATAATCCTTGGATCAGCTGGGTTCAGTTCTCCTGACTGTGTCTCCTCCCAATTCCTTGTGCACTCCTAGCCCACTCAAGGTGGTGTGAGATGAAAAGCAGCAAAGGCCTTGACTTTTGGAGGCCCTGCTCAGCCATAGCCAAAACACCCCTGCATTATCAACACTGTATCCAGCACACATCCACAGCATAACGCCATACCAGCTACAGTGAAGAAAACTGACCTCTACCCTACACAAAACCAGCACATCTCATTTGGAATTATGTGCATGGATTGGGGTGCTGTAGATGCATTGATGAACACATGCAGCTATCTTATTTCACAGAGCTCCTAAATTAGGACCACAAAGCAAACATTTGCACTCCACAGGAGCCAGTGAGTTGCAGATCTACCTTAAAGGACCTGATTTTCAAAACTTGTTTGATGATGCTGAAATCACATGAAAGATGCAAACTCCCTCAGCCCGTAAAGCATTAGGGTACTGGATATGCCAGCTCCTTGCTCTTTTTCATACCTCTGGTATGAAAACACATCTGTCAAATGCCTGAAAACCCCATCATGCTGCCCAGTGAAGACAAAATTATACACCTGGGCAAAGGGAATGCCTCCTGTGAGGGAGTGGCACAGCCCTCACTCCTACATGTAGCTGCAGTCAGGTCTCCATTCCAGGATAGAGCAAGAGAGGTGTGGCTTGTGCCTGATGACCTGGCAGGGACTCCTGCACCTCTTGCTGGTGCTGGAGCTGGAGCTGATGCTTCCTTCATCCTTGGGACCACTGACAACCTTTTGAGAAGCCCCAGGCTGTAAAGAAATTGGGGTGCTGTGTTTCCATCAGAGGTTCTGCTACCGAGGACCACTACCCCAGCTTCTCATTTCTGACATTGGTCCACAGCAAACACCTCACAGGAAAAAAGGAAGAGTAGGAAATTAACTGTATGATGCATCAGTTAGTCCCATATATAGACACAGTCCTCACAGAGCTCTCAAACCAGCCTGGGGATGAATAAGCCTCAGCTTTCAAGCTCCCTACACCAACTGTCCATTCTATCTCCAGCACCTTCAAGGCAGGTTTCTAGAGGTTGTCAGGTTACATAAAATGGCACTGTCACTGTGGAGGTCTGTGAGGGAGGGGTGGAGGAACAGCCCCTGAATCAACAGCAGTACACAAGCAGCTAAAGGTGCTCTTAATACCTTGGTGACTGAGGCTCTAAATGTGTAAGTCTACCTCTAAGGAGAAATTAAAATGTGATTCAACATAAGAGCCTTGGTTTTTATTGGCAAATGAAAAGGGTTTTTTTCTGCTGAACAAAAAATAATCACTGTCTTTCTCTCTACAAGTGAGATCCCTTGTGTGCCACTCAGCAGCTTCCAAGCAGCACTCTCAGGACTGCAGCACCCACCCTGCCAGGCAGGAGGATGCAGCTCAGAGGTGCCTGGTCTGGTAGAATGTTTTAGACCTGGGTTTGGACTGCATATATATCCACACTGCCTCCAAGTTTTACATTCCACTCTCTATGCAGCCTTATACAGAACAAAATTAACCCATTTAAAAGTAGCCTGTTAAAAATAGTAAGAAATTTCAATTTATTTTAGAAGGTATTCATTCCATCTGTTTCTCAGTTTAAAAGGAAGTAAATATCCTCTATAATGCCAAACCAGGCAGAAATATTTTCTCCTTCTGTTCAGCCTTAAGGTTATAGGACTGCTTTTGACAACATAAGCATTTTTTCTTTATCTTATTTTTTTTCTCTTTGAATTATAAGTAGTTTAAAAACTTTTCAATATTTTAAGCCAATTAAGGTTAGGGTAAATATATTTTGTAAGCTGAATATAATAACGTGGCAATTTTATATGAAGATTTCATACAAAAAATGACAGTAATGAAATCCCCATAGGGAAAGGAGAAGCAAAGCATGAGCTTTGGCTGATGGGATGTCTCTATAATTTTGTAGCAGGTGGGCTGCTGTCTTCAGCCCTCTCATGACAATCTCCCCACCTCAGTGGCAGCAGAAACTGCACAGACACATTCTTTCCTTTGATTATTTTTTTTTCATGCAACATAAATTAACAATTCATAACGCAGTCATTTGCCTCAGAGATGCTGCATGGGTGTGCTGTGAATGAAGGTGGTGAGAAAAGCACTGCTGTTTTTCTCAAAGCTTTTTATCTTTCCCAAAATGAGAGAGGTGGGAATGGGATGTACTTCTACAAACAACCTCAGCCATGCTTTTCTTTTCTTTTTTTTTTTTTTTACTGTCCATTCAGCTCCAGAAGTGAGAAGTGAATGGACATGGAGCAAAGTTCACACAGAGGATCAAAAATTGATTTTTATACTATGACTACCTGTATATTATCTTCTAATATCTATAATGAATATATAAACTGACTAAAATCTCAACAGCTACACAGTGTATGGTTGATTAGGGCAGGAGCTAGGGCCCTGGACATGGTCAGGAACAGCAGGAATAAGTGCTCCTATATATGCTTTCTTGGTTTAATGGAGATATAAGCACAAATAAAAAAGTAAAAAGAGGTTTGAAAACCTATGTAAATTTGCAGTATCTGCATTGGTATTTGTTATTTGTCCATTTCTGACCTGAGCAAATTACTCAAACTTCTCTTCAAGACATTCATGTCTTCTAGGAGAATGGGATACAAATTAAATACCTGCCAAGCAAAGAATTTACTTAGACCAGTACAGTCTACTGGTCTACTTAAACACTGTAAAAAACTCAATAGTGTTAATAAAGTAAGGTATGTGAAGGTCTGAGAGCTGCTGTCTCTGGACAATCCCTATGACATGATTCAGCTGAAAGCCACATTCATTTGTTCTTCACATAGTTTCAGAAATACAGAATTTCAGAAGAAGTCATTAAAGGCCCTCATCCTAAAATAAATATATTCTTCATTTCCACTTTCAACACCACAGCCAACATTATCTAGCTGGGAGCAGACAATATATCACACATTAGTTTAACAACTCCACACAGTGGCAGAGAGATATAATTGACTTAGACATCTCATCCTCAGCAAGAGTTGTATCCTGAGCAAAAACCAGCAGCAGTTAGAATTTGGAAAATATGCATCAAAGAGATATGATAAATAACCCATGGGCCTTAAGTTAAATAATTAACCTACATGTAGTCTGTCACATGTTTTAATAGAAGCACTGCAGAATTATGGTCATCCCAAGCCCTCCTGGCTCCAGAGGGACGAAGCTGTGTCTGCTGCTGATATCTCTGCAGCTTTACAGCTGAAGATAACAATAGCCCTCTGGACTATGGGCAAAACTTTATGTATAAAAAGAAGAAATAGAAAGAAGTAGAAATAGAAATAATAGAAACAGAAAGAGAAATAGAAATAATAGAAAGATACATGGCAGAGTCCAGAGGGCCATGGCAGGTGGAAGAAAAGCAATGGGATATACATAGAACAGACTACAGAAAAATTATTTCTTCAGCCAGAACATGTACAACATGCATGGTCTCAAAATAACAAGAAGCCAAGTGTGCTTTCAGCTCACTCTGAACTAGAGTGAGAAACTGAAAGGAATATGAGGCCCCACTCCACCTTCCTCTTTAGCTTTTCCATCTGAAGTCGACAAGAGAAAACATTAGTTAAGGGAACTACTCTCTTGAATAGCAGAAAAGTGGAGCAATTGCAGGATGGAACAGAAGAATTCCAATACCATGCAGGAATTGAAATGGAAAATGGCTTCACTTCAATAGTTCAGGTTCAATTTCTGTCTTTAGGTGAACTGAGGTTCCCACATTCCCTCTAAACACTCTCACTGAATAGCAAACTTGAAAAAAATTTCCCTGCTTCCTTCTCTTCCCTGCCTTCTTTCTCTCCCCATGCTGTCTTCTGATTTCCCATGCCTCATGTAGCCTGTCCCTGAGCATCCCTGCTCCCAGAGGAGATCCAGATCCATCTGGTTTGCCATTGTGGCTGACTGCTGCTAGTCACATTTAGCAGAATAGCAGACCTCAGCTGCAAGGGTGCCCAGTGCAGTTCAAGAGTAGAGGCTGTGCCCAGCTGAGGACAGCACAAACAGCATCGGTACAGGCTGCGAGGAACCGGCGCATTTTCTACCTTTGCAAAAATTTTGATTTAGGAGCTTCTAGTCTGGCAAAGTCCAGCTTTAGATCTGTAAGTTTTTCTTTGAATTTGTGGAGCTTCTCAGCCCAAAACTTATGGACAAGGTATTGCGTATTTCTTACCACATGGTGGATTTGAGTTTTCTGAAAATACTCACTGCTTTGCCAAAATATGAAAGGAAACATTTCTTTCTCACTATGTCTACACTTCATCTTCCTCCTATGTGCTGTTTCATGTTGATATTTGAATTTATGTCAAATTACAATTTCTGCATCAGAGAAAATCTATTAGAGAAAAATAATTGTCATTATTCAAGTGGTCAGCACTTGTCCAAACCAGCCTGTGTATCTCTATGTAAGCATTTTGTTTAAAAGTTATTCCTTATCATGTTTATGGCACAAAATATACATCTGAGAGTCCAAGATATTTCGCAAAACATTATCTACAATTCAACTGGTAATCATTTAAATGAAGGTTTTATAGAAAAGATACAGCTGTAAAGCTCTTCAAAGCAGCCCTTGGGAACATAAACTGCATTGCAGTTTTCCCCTCAATTTCACAAAGCACCATAAGTTAAGTTTATAATAACTGCCTTAAGTAATTCAAAATTAAGGCATTTGGCTCCCAGTGATGCTATGTAATGCTATTTTAATAAGAGCAAGTGCAGTTAGGACATGGACCAGTGTAACCACATAATCCTGAATGGCAGGCTCTCTGTGCAAGAATTTTCTCTCTTATTAATTTCACACTGTGCCATCTCATATTCCTGCCTTGGCCCTGTTTAATCTTATAGCAGTAGTGAAATGCTATCTGAACAACTCTGGTGATGATGAAATTATCTTAAAACCATTTATGACCAAGCTATGATGTGCAGTGTCTCTTTTTTTCTGCCTCCCTACTCTCTAACTCATGCTGTGGCAGTTTTTTTTCCTTTTTCTGGCCACTTACACCTCTTCTCATATCCTCTCCATCCATTGTGATGCCCAATATACCAGTTCCCTTATCCTGACATACAGTTCCATTTACAGCCTTCCTGAGACAGCTGGATTCTCAGTGTCTGGCCCTTTGGACTGGATAGTTACACTCTGATGAGTGAGTGGCAACATACAGGAAAAAATTCCTCTACCATTCCTTCAGCAAAATCTGTGGTAGTGTGGTTCTCCTCTGTAAGCAAAATACATACCTACCTTTTATTTTCCTTCTCTCCATCTCTTATATATAAATAACTTCATAGCCATAACAGAAAATCTATAAAATATAGTAATACAGGGGAGGGAAACAGAAAAACATTATGAAAAGACAAAAAAATCCATTTAATAGCATACCTGTGAAAGATGGGGAGTGTTTGTGATGCAGAGGAAGTGGATTAATGTTTTTGTCTTGTATCCATCAAGTCCAAATTCCAAAACACGACCAAATATATATATATATTAATCCCTAAACTCTTTTCTTTTCCTTCTCTTAGGGCTTACTTGTGGCTACCATATTCTGCTTCTTCAATGGTGAGGTAAGTACATGAAATGCAGAAAATGAGCAGAACTTGTAAAATAGTCATCCTGCTGTTCATAAGTGCAGATGTGAAGCATGTCACACTACAAACTTTGAAACCACACCAAGTTGCTTTTACTGTCTACGCACAAGCAGTGGCGTGCATTTCTGTCAGCTCTGTGCAGAGTGTGATTGGAATTTCCCTGAGCAGATTAATCAGGTCTGTCACCATTACAAAGCAGATGGCACCTAGTGAGGTACAGGCATGTCACTCTTGCCCTACTACCTGCAAGTTTGAGATGGAGGTCTAAGTGGAGGAGAAAAATGCTTTACACCCCTTCCTGCCCCAGAACAGCAGGAAGGACCACAATACTCAATAAGAAGCAGGGAAGATATTCAGAGATCTGTCCGAAGAATGAAGTGGGGAGCTCAGGCCAGAGCCATGGGAAATCCATCCCTGGCAGCACTGTCAGAGGTGGAGGAGTACAATTGCTTGAGCTCCTTTAAGGATTAGCACTGGCCTTTTTACCGTCAATGTTTCTTGTGTAGCAATTGAGAAATAAAAACCCTTGAGGCAAAGATCTCTCCCAGTCTCTTACCGCTGGATCATATATATGAATGAACATCTACAGTGGGTTTTAGATCCACTTTACTACTTCTTTTTTTTTACAAAAAAATAGCAGGTTAAAATATGTCAAGAACTATTTAAATTCCTGCAGCAACCCATTTTACAAAGATGGTTGTCAGAAAAAAGCTTTTTCAACACATCAAGAGCATTCAACTGTAGTGAAATAAAACACCATATATTTTAGCCAAGATAGGAAGTCCATTAAAAAGTTCATTTTTGGTGAACTAGAACTAGATACAGAACAAACTTTGTGATGCTAATACTCAGTAAGTAAACATAGAGAAACATTTGTGCTCCTGTTTATATTATTATAAACCAACAAATATTATATTATTAGAATATATAATATTAATATATTAATATACTACCTATTAGTATATTATATTATTAGAAACCAGCAAATTTCATGTAATGACGTGACCACACTGATGTTTTGATAGAGACTAGAAGCAGGCTATCCTATTGGTAAGGTGTTTCTGGCTGCTTTGATAACATTCAGGATAGCAGAGTATTAAATTCTGCCACCATTTGTCAACATCTCTGGATATTTGCCTCTGGTTGGCTCCCTGGTAAATGTACAGAGAAAATGAAGAATAAAAAAGATGAGAGGCCTCAGCTGCAGCTCTGCAGCATGGCTCCTCAGGAAGCACGACAGAGAATGGCAAAATGTGAGCAGCTAATCACATCAGAACCTCACACAAAGTGAGATCACGCTACAGAAGTTCACGGTTTCATGCATCCAACTAAACAAAGTTGAAGACATGTACAACTCTTTTCCTAACACATTTCTGTCCCCAGTATCTGCAGGCTACTATCACCTTTCTCCTTCTGCTTTGCTGTCATCACTCTGACACAGCTGAATATCCATGCCCTGGAAACAAAGACAAACTTCTGATACTCCCTAGTGTGGAGGAGCTACTGTAAAGAAAGTAGAGACCAGTCAGGCAGTTTTTGAAGCATCCACTGCCTGTAGGAGTGTCTGCATCACTGTGTACAAGTGTCTCCTCACTGGCCTGCAAACAATGTGTTACCCCAAAATCCTGGTCTTGAACTTTGCCTTCTTCACTCCCCCCAGTGTCCCCTGCATTTTTTTCAGATTAGATTTTGCAAAAAAAATTGTCCTCATGTTTTATAGCTTTAATGCAAGAGGTTGATTCTCCATCTCTAATGAGAACATCCAGATTTGTCTAGATTAAAGGTTGTAGCAATGTTAAAAATGAGGAAAGGTCACAATAAAATGCACTGAAAACATAAATTATCTTAAAGTATATTAGTTTCTTAGTTTCATCAATTAGCTCTAATTCCAAAGTACTTTTGGCAAAGCTACAATGTCAGAAGAGCATGCCCACCTTTACAACCCCAGGAATACAATTCTCAAAGTATGCACTAAGGAATACATCTGAAGCATCTGCTAGCCAATATGCATGATTGATGACTCCTTGATGGAAAACCTGATCAGAAACATGGATCAAAGTCAGGCATTAAAAACTGTGAGGAGGCAGGTTTCTCAGACTTACTAGAGTGATTTTATTGGGGCTTGGGTACTTTTTACCATTACACCCATTTTCAAAATCATTGCATCTGCTTCAGATTTGCAGATTGTCAATGGCAGGAGTGCTGGAAAACCCTCTCATTATTTTCTTCTAGGAAATTTTATTTGGGGATGTTTTTTCTAGAATATCCCATTAAGGTGAGTAGTGTCACAGATGACACCTCTCCAATACAGACTCAAGACAGTTTGGTGCTACTTGCAACAGCACATTACCCATAAACACCCAGCAAAATTCATGCACTAGATGAGCTGGGCTGGACTGGGATGTGCTGGGCCAGGAGAGGATGAAAGGATTGTGATCCTTTCCCCCCATTTATTTCTGCAGTTACACAATCTGTAGATATATAAGACACAAAATTTATTAAAAACCAGCAACAGTCTAATGCCAAGCTGGTATCATGGCCTTCCAAAGGAAGAACTAATCTGAGTTTGACCAAGACAATTGAACTAATTTCCCTCATTCCTGGTGTATGCAGAAGTACACAGACCAAAGACAATCTGGTCTTCAGTCATGATATAAGATTGTTTCCAAGCTGCTGCATACATCTGCTGCCATAGAAGCTAAAATTATTTCTCATGAGAAAATTCAGTGTGGGGCAAGGAGATTAATTTTAGTACTGCAGAAGCTTGGCTAATCTGGGATTTACTTCTTCCTACTGAAACATTTAACTTCAAGACTGAAATACACGAAGCTCAGCCAGGACAAACAATGCTAAACTCAGAACCACTTTAGTGTGTTTTACAGTGCATTCATCACTACTGCTTCACTAACCTCACTTTAGTACCATGAGCCCATCTATAGAAAGAAATCTAAAAATAATAATAAAAAGCTGTAGTAATGTCTGCATTCATCTGGAAGAACACATAAACAATGTTTGGTTTTTTATTTTCAAAATGAAAAATCTTCTTGTACCTTTTCATATAAAATCTTTGTGTCCAGTAGAACTGCAGTTTCTCTGTCCAACAGCAACAGTTTTGTACAGATGATATAAGGTCTCTGCAATAGTCTGCTTACCAGACCACATTTTCAAGCCTGGGATTGCTCCTAGACTGCAAGGCTGGACAATGGAATGGAAAGTCTATTTGGGAAAAAAACAGCCATGTATCTTATGAGCCAATGAGGTGTGAATGGCTAATAGAGAATGGAGAAAACTTTAAAGTCTTGAAGACCAGAGTAAATAAACTTGGGCTCTTCATTGCTTCAGTCTTTGCCTTCATTTATCTGCCATCACAGTGGAAAGCATGGCAGGCATCACCGTGTGCCTCATGGTCCCCAGGTGCCTCCTCAGTCGTTAATATGTCGTGGCTGTGCATGTGATTTTCAGTAATGCTGCTTACATATTTAAAATCCATGCCTGAATGGTTTTAGTTGGCACTGAGTTATGATCATCTGAGATTCTTGGAATTGTGGCAGAAAACTAGATTAGCAAATTCTACTCAAATGCAGTAACTTGTACAATCCATTATCCATTTGTGGCCAGATCCTTGAACAAACAAGCAGTTCAGCAGAGAACAAAAAAAAAAGACACTTTGACCTTGTGCTCTCACTGCTCTGTGGAGCCTTTTAGACTTTTATAATGGCACTTCTGATCATGTGCTGAGCTGAAAGGGATGTGGCTGTTGTCTACCCACCATACATACGGTGTAAGCATCACTCCCTCTGAAGAAAATAAACTCCTCATGACAGGCTCTGTAAGACTCAGGGACATTGCTCTTCCCTCTCCAGTTAACCACACTATAATCTCCTCACCTATGGCAGACTCCAGTTCAGCTGAGAGCAGCTGGGGTGCTTATCAGGAGCTTCTCACCTGCACAGCAGCTCTTCTCCCCATGCAAGAGCGATCAAAGGGGATGTGGGGCCTGTGGAGAGGGCAGAGAAAGGAGAGGACTAGGAAAGGAACAGAAATTCTCTAAGAGCAGGCTCTTGCTGCCTTCGCTAGAGATGCTGACATGGATCTGAATGGGTGAAGTGCTGTGAAATGCAAACATGCTCAGCTTGGGGCAGAGGTGAAGGCCAGAAGTGCACAATGGGTGGTGACCGTGGTGCAGTGGAGGAGAGGCGGCTGCAGACAGACAGAGCCACTGTGCACACACAAGGTTTCTGCATTATCCTCCTTTTGTCTGCCCTAGGTGCCCCTACCCCAGTGAGATATGGGGAAAGTCATTGTCCTAGTACTTCTGAACACTTCTTCTTCCAGTCCCTCCCCATATATTCTAGGGTAACAAAGTTAAAATATTCATACTGTAACATCAAAAGGCAATTTTAAAGTGACTAAAATCTTTACAAAGTTTAGCTTGTGTAATATTTCAGTATCAAGTGCTGCCACTGCATTACTCTTTGACCCAGTAATTCTTTCTCAATAATAAACTTGGCTGATAGTGTGATAAAACATCCCCACATTCACTTATTTCACTTTAATTCTCAACATTGGCATAGCAAACATTCCTCACAGCCCAAGCAATTAAAGTTCCATTATGACCATATGTCTTTCCTGTGCTTGATATCTAATTAACCTCCACAGAGCCATTTGGTTTTTTCCTTTATATGTTAGGAGAAGGTGAATAGCAATACATTCTCCAAATGACTAACAGTGCCCACCTCAGCAGGATCACAGAAACTTGTAGACTCCTGTCATCACAGTGCCTTGCTTGCACCTTGCACCCTGGAGAGGGACATTTACATCAGATTATTGTGCCAAACTGCTATGCTTGCTTTGTGTTCAAATTTAAACAAAAAGAGCCAGGATTTTCCCACTTTCTGCTCATGTCACAGCACTATCAAGAGCTGCCACGCATGGACATGCAGCTGGAGAAATCCTTCTTATTCCCAGGCAGGAAGGACTCAATAGTTTAAATCATTTTCCAGTACCATGTATAACACTACTCTTAATGTAAACATTGAATAAAATATTTTATTCTTAGCAGATGACTGTTCAAAGTTTGAAATCCTCTGCCATGCAGAGGGCTATGACCATTCTATATTTTGAGAGCACAGAACCTGTTCTTAAATTACCAGAATAAAATCTCTGTTTAGCTGTCCTGATCCTCTGACTCTTTCTACAAAATTAGTCCTGGCAAGCTCATGAAGTGTACTTACACTTTGCCATTCATGGCATTTCTCATTACTCAAAGTTGAGCTTCTTCAGGAATCAAAATGCATTAGGCTTTTCAGGAGCAATAATCCAGCTGAAGCATCAGCTTTTCCTTTTCCTTTTCCTTTTCCTTTTCTTTTTCCTTTTTTCCTTTTCCTTTTCCTTTTCCTTTTCTTTTTCCTTTTTTCCTTTTCCTTTTCCTTTTCCTTTTCTTTTTCCTTTTTTCCTTTTCCTTTTCCTTTTCCTTTTCTTTTTCCTTTTTTCCTTTTCCTTTTCCTTTTCCTTTTCTTTTTCCTTTTTTCCTTTTCCTTTTCCTTTTCCTTTCCTTCCTGTCACAGGAGTTTATATTATGCCTCACCCTAACAGTGTGTTTCCCTGGCAGGTCCAAGGAGCTCTGAAGAGGCAATGGACGCAGTACAAAACCCAGTGGGGCCAAAGGCGCCGAGAGCACTGTTCCACGCGATCTACCTCCTACACGGCCACGTCAATCACTGAGGTCCCTGTGTACCTGTACCATCATGATGCCAACAATGAACAGTTAAATGGAAGATACGTAGAGGACTCTGAACTGGTTGCATTAAAATCTGGAGACACGTCTGCCTAGCTCAGCACCAGCCGCTGCAAACACATCGTTCATGTTCTGCTTGTGAAAAAAACTGGGGGAAGGGTGGGAGTGTGGAAGACCAAGATGCTGTGTCAGAGTGAAGGCCCAGGCAGAAGGACACATCCTATTCAAACCACATCAACTTCTGGCAGCAATGATGTAGGGGGAGTGTGATGCAGACCTGGAATAGCATTTCTTCCTGTGCACTGCAGCAGGGAGTAAACATGGACCTGCCCATCAGGCTGTGCAATATCCACATCTCCTGATACCTGTATGAAGTGACCATCTGACATTTGCAACAGCCCCAGGTAGCCAACAGCAAATAGGAAAGAAAGAACCAGTATGTGGCTATTGGAAACTTTCAGCACTTTTTGCTTTTGGTACTTTTCCTTAAGACTAGATTTCAAACCATCAACTTTCACAAAGTGTAACTGACTTGGAGTCCTTTATTTTTCCCTTATAATGAGCTTGATGACTGCTTAAAAGATTTTGCACATTGCGAGAAAAATCAACTATATGAACAGCAGAAAATCATTCCAAAGTATTGAAATCTTGATGCTTTCCAAAGAATGCCACAAAATAATACCATCCCCAAAGGACACCCCAAAATATTACCACCCCATCAGCAGGGGCATAAAGCAAATTAACGTGAAATAGTCATTGCATACCAAGATCTCAAACACCCTCAGAGAAACAAATTAATTATTCAGCCTTAATGACACAAGTCCTGAAGGCATCTCAAAATAGATTTCATTTAACAATACTGGTAGTTCAAGAATATTTATTTATAGGAAAAATTGTCACCCTATTACTCTGCCCAGAAACTTATCATTAAGACACAATTCTCTCATTCTGAATAAGCTGTGAAATTTGTTTGGGGACTATGTTTTATTGAATAGGCATTCTGAGTTGAGTGCTATGTGAATGCTTGTCTCTGTTGTAAATTTTTTATCATGGCAGGAAATGTTCCCATGAAAGAAATCAGGAACCAATATCTTAGCACAGGAAGCATCTACTTTTAGAATCTGGTTGCTCTCCTGAGTTTCTAATCATTACATAGTCTTGCCAAATGCCTTTATGATCTATTTCTGCTTCTATTGAAATTAGCACACAAATCCCTGTTAACTTGGAAGAATAATGGACAACTCTCTTCAATGTTCAGGAATGAGCTACGTTACGCAATGCAGTGTAGACTTCAAAAACATGAGGCCATTTCCTCCACAGTGATTTGAAACCATTTTTAAATATTGTATCCAGCCAGGCTGACTTTCCTTCCCTGACACAACCAGACCCTAAGCTTTACCCTCAATCTGTAGATTTTAAATGAAGAAAAAATGTATGTGTCTAGCTACACGGTCATCATCTCACTGGAAAAGTCCCTTCCAGGAATGAGTTCATGAGGCAGAGCTGTAAAGCCAGCACTATGAGGAGAGACCAGATTCGCCCTGTCCATACATGAGGCAATGCCTTGCAGGGAAGGAGGCTGCTCTGTTTTCACCAGCAGCACACCCACCAGCTGTGGCACGTTGCCCCCAGAATGAGGAGGAAGCTGCCAGCTCTGCCACTGTAGAACAAAAGAGGAGCTGGGGAACAAGAAGGAATTGTCTGCGGGCGGTGCAGATCATCATGTGGTCAATCCAGCAGAACACCCAGAAGAAACTACCATCGTGTGTGTTTGTTCAAGCCACATACCTGTTTTTCAGACTTCAAGGAATACAAAGACAGTTATTTTTTCAAACAAGAGTATTTCTCATATTGCTATTTCTACTTTCACCAGTGAACAATAGGAATGGAGGAGCCAGTTGTTAAAGACAATAAAGTGGCTCTGCTATGAATCTGTATTATTCTGCATAGCTTTGGGGCACACTGCACTTCCCAGGAGGGCTTCAGAAGGCATTCCTGCTTTCTAAAGACACAAATGAGCTGATTGTAAAAGAAATGTGCATAATATAGAGAGTTTAATGATGAACATGTTGGTTTTAATAATGTAAAGTTTACAATATGTAAGTGCAAGTTGTTTCACAGTCAGTTCCTTTAGTGTGGATGTACAAAATGGAAATGCTTTACCATTATGCTGATTGTTCTCTTTCTTCTATAATGATATTTCCTTGCTCTGTTTAGTAGAGTGTTCTGAAAAGTCAGATCAGGATCTGAGGTTTAGGATATTATTTGCAGCTTCAGTGTGCTTGTGTCAGTCTTTATGGAAGCTTTGGTTTCAGCCAAGGGATGATGATTTCCAGCCACAAAAATATTGGTATAACATACGCAATGACTTTAGGGCTGTCATCACACTTGGGTTTTGTAGAAAAGGCTGAGTTTTAAAGGTACTTACTGAGTAATTTCTAATCAAAATATTTTCCAATGGGAAATGCTATTTTTCTTCATCTCAACATGGTTTGAAATGCCATAATTGCACACATAAGGTATATTTTATTCTCTGCTTTATAAATTGCACCATACACTAGTGACAGTAATACTGAGAATGCTGATACAACCTCAATAATTCCAATTATGACAGTAGGGTGGTTTGACTCAAATAGATTTCACAAGAACAGCAGACACATGTAATTAATATATCAGTGTATCAAAAGGTATGGAAGGAGCTGACACTTGAATCAGTGGATTCAAGGTGTATTTTAAGAGGAAAGCAACTTCACATCTATCAGTTCTGCAGTATCTACTTCCTCTCAAACACCACACCCAACACATGAAAACCCAGTTTAGTGAGGATTTGCTCTTGCGGAAGGTTTTGTGTGGTTGCTCTGAGCAACCAAATCTATCAGGAAGATAGATTTAGTTGGATGCTGGTTGTTATTCTTTACGAGGTACAGAAACACAGCACAAATTAAAATATTTGTTGTGGCATGGGATGTTGAAAGTAAGACTTGATTTTTATTTTATTTACTTAATAAATATATTTTATCTGAAATAAAACAGCAACAAAAGTAGAACAGACAATTTTCTCTGTATTAAAATTGTTAGCAATAATGCTACCTTAATTAAAACACTACAGAGTGCTCTCACATAGCAAAATAACTCTGCTTTAGGATAAGAGGATAAGAGCAAAAGTGGTGAATTCTGTTCTCTTCTCCCATTCTTTGCCAGCCTCAATAAACAAAATATGAGCTGACTTACAAAGATCTGAAACACTGAAAATGTGAAGGTACCTACATTTCCACTGCTAGAAATTTTTAAAATTTGTTGTGTCTTTGTGAATCTAAATACCGCTCAAAAATTTGAGGATTTGTAAACTAAAAGTCATTTGCGTCAATCCCAAGCCAATGAGAACCTGCAGTGTGAACATGTCCTCTCTGCCCTCTACACAACTTTTTATGTACTTCCAGATGGATCCCAAACCTGTATTTAGGAACCCCTTTACTGAGCATTCAGAGCATAATTGAGAAAATAACGTAAATCTCAGCGTCACAAATACAGATCAGCAAGTTGCCCTCACCCTAATAAAGAACGTCTGTTTTTAACAGTGAAATCAAGTGCTGAGAAGGCTCCCATTGCTGAACATGTCTTACTGCTGCAAAGGAAGAATTGGGGTAAAATGACTAACCAGGTTGTGGTATTGTGAGCCTCACAAAACACAAATCAGCACAGTCAGCACTGGGGATGATTTAGACCCAGCTCACCTGCCTTGGCATAGGAACCATTTAGATGACCTGCTGAATCCCTGTCAAAACTTATTTTCCATTCTTTCATAGCAGCAAAGATGGGCACTGTGCTCTGCTGGAGCAGGAAGGTATTTAACTCTCCTTATATGGCATTTAAGATTTTCTTCCTAATCCAATTTCAGAACCTCACAAGACTATTTTTAAGAGAAACAATTATCTTCAACCAATTTTTAAAGGACATCAGCATTGATTTTATGACTCTGGTCCCTTTTCTCACTGCAAGAAAAAGCAGTTTTGAGAAGTGGCCACACTACAGGAGGTTACTTTGTGTAATGTGCAATATGTGCCCATGTGTGACTACATGTAACTCTCCCACACCCCAGTGCTGGTGATGTTGGTTTGCACAATACGGTCAAAGAGATACAGCTCCTTCCCTCATATGCTTTGCATTTCTCTCTCCCTCAGTATCATTATCATAAGATGCATTTATTTCCCAATCTGTGCTTTCTACACATTTTCAGGAGAAACATTTTGCTTTTGCAATTTGCAACTTAATGTTGACTTGCTCTCGGTCCAAGATGTACTTACCAAAATCAGACTGGAAAATGTGCATTTTCATCCAAACCAGATTATAGAATTCAGGTGCTTGGCCCACACTGTTTTTAAAAACTACCCACCGGAATTCTGGAAATGGTAGGTGCAGATTTAAAACTAAGTCAAGGTAAAAGTCTTAGCGCACAAACCAAGTATGTTCAGAAGCACAGTAACATTATCTTTTTTACTTTTGACAGAATACAATCCTGTTATTTAAACACATTTAAAAAATAAATAGAAAAAAAAATCTAAACAGATCTTGTGAAGTTGAAAATTATACAAAAGGCACCAAAAATCCCCAACCAACTGGAAAGCCTAGATAGCATGCATGCATATGAATATGTGTACAGTAAATTATTATAGGAGCTGTGTTCAGGTAGAAAGTGACCCATCACCCCACAATGAACAAAATCTAAGTCATGAGTGGGAGACACTGCAGGTCAGAGAAGACTTGTAGCCTCCAGTAAGCACCTTTATGCTTTCTGGGGACTCCATATGGAACACAGACAACCAAGGTCATCCATCATCCCACTCCCATCCCAGATGTGTTCATGAAGGAATGACCAGGACCAGAGACACTGGCTGCACTGTGTTTCTCAGCTTCATAAACCAGCACTGAGCTGATGAAAGGAGCTGACTGGGAGATGAGCAGGAGCAATCTCTTTTCCAGCTGCATGGTAATGTTGGGTTTTCTCCTTCACATAAGATCCACTGCTGTGGAGAGGACTGATCTTAGACCAGGCGGCTCCTTGGTATGGAGAACCTTTTAATTTCACTTTAATGTGGGTAACACATCAGTAATTCTCACTGACTTCAGCAGTGTGGCTAAAGGCAGGACTTTTCCTTCTCTGATTTTAGAGGTTATCTAAATATCAAGCAAATACTGAAAATGCTTGGTGTAATACACTATTGCCTGTGTATTTGACATCAAAAATCCTGGTTCATCTGTATTATGCTACATATAGGCTTCTTAAGGTTGCAAGATACTATTTTTTTTTTATTTGCCTTGATTTTTTTCTAGTAAAATGCTCATTCTCTGTATTAGCACCATGTTTACATGTGTTACATGTATTTCTACTTTTAGGTATATGCACCATCACAATTAACACTCCTGCTAAGAAGTAGTGGGAGAGAGTTCTGCAGAATTTGAACAGTCTGTGAAACAAAACGCATGAGGAAAGAGGCTGTATCTTAGGTGCAGATACAGCATTGCCAGTATAGCCTTCCACATGGAAGGAATTTACATAAAATAGCTGCCTGTAATGAGTGTCACTGTGCAAATGGTCAGAGTGCATATTCTGCCTGCTGTAGACTGTGCAGGCAAGCTTAACAAGTTCAGGCCCACAACATATGAAGAGGAGATAGTTTAAGAAAAGTTTCTTCTTATTATATTATCCTACAGGCTTTTTTCTTCTATTATCTTTTGGCATATAGCAAATATTTAACTCCCAAGTTACTACTCTGCTCAAGATTGCCTTTCCAGCAGCAGAAGGGAGGTGTCCCTCTGGGGAGCTGCAGCTTTGAATGGGCAGCACTGTAGAGTCTTCATAAAAATTATGGTGAGAGCATATCCAACACAAAGTAGCCTTCAATTCAGAAAAAAGAGACTTCAGAGATTTTTCCTTTTAATCCTCTGTTGTAAAATTTCTTCCCTCTGGGAGATTCCTTGGAAAGTCAGAGTTAGAAAGGATGTGGAAGGACAAGAGGTAGCTCCAGATGTACCATCACCTCCATGGTGAATAGTTTGCCATGACTTGTCAAGTTTTGGTAAATGCAAAAAAAAAAAAAAAAAAACCCAACCCAAAATAGATCATGTTTCTGCTTTCTAGCTATAGCCCATGTAGAAGTAACTTGGTATCAACTTTTTTTTATACATCAGGATGTCATGAGCAAAGAGCTCTGGTTTTCAGACATTTGGTTTACATTACACAAGTACTAACGCTCTTCAGTGCAGAATGGTGTGTCAGTTACCAACAATGCACTTTGGCAAAAGCAGTGAATGCAATCAGGGCAAAGAAATAAAATAAATATACTTGATGCTCAGCACATACAATTATCGCAAATAAGCAATATTCCTTCAGTAATCACAACACATACAATAACATCTGGATAGAATTTAAACAACTCCATGGGCACATAAGAAGTTTTCCTCTTTTTTTTTTTTTGTAATCCGTGTCTACATAGAATATTACTGTATGTTCATGGTAGGAAAGTTTTATGCAATTATTTTTATTGGGTGATGCTTGAAATGCATGGTTCACAGAATTGAAAAGGTTTGAAAATGTAGCAAGACTTCCTATGCTGGCAAATCTGAGACACACACAAGTCACAAATTCATTGTTCATGATTGATATTAATGAAAAGACAACTGCAACTGTATATATATTTTTTAATATCCTTCACTTTATATATAAGCCAAGAAATTCACTATCTGCTTTAGTATTTGCTATACAATGAACAGCCTTGTGTGCTGTTCATAAGCTGCACTTTGGTCAGTATCTCTTTGTAAGAAGGTTTTCTACACATGGTGAATTACAGCAAAAACATGAGTGAAATCTCAACATTACTGAATTCAAAAGCATCAGCTGATTGAGTTCTGCTGTAACAAGGATTTCATCCTTTACAGATCCTGTTTTCCCCGTATTAAAGACTGTGGGTGGTTCAGAGAAAGGGGTGCTTGGTACTGCATTTGTAACAGCCATGTCACCCAGTGGGGGCTGCAAATATGTGGGGGCTGCTGTTGTCTTTTCAGGTCATTCCCCCAAAGAGCTGTGGAGGTTGATCAGAGAGCAAGGCAGGAGAGAACAATGCAGAAGTTAAGCTCTGACATTTCCTTTCACAGTAAATACAGGAAGATGTAGCTCTGGAAAGGGTTTTCAGAGACTCTGGAAATCTTGGACTGCTCCAGCCCTTGAGTCAGGCAGTGTCTGGTAGTGCCAGTCAATCACCCTTTCTTAGTTTATTTTATATTGCACAGAAGTGGTTTAGATGCAATTTCTTTGGTGTAGAACTGAATCTTTGGGAAATCTTGGCTTTGTGAGAGGCTTCTTTTTGCAATTAAAGTCAGAGTCATTTAAAAATTGTTGGAATGTCTTCTCTTAAGATATTCTGATACAAATGAATACCAAACCACTAGTTCTTAAAGAGTTCGACAACCCTCACTCCCTAAAAAGCTTTCTGAAAAATCTCTGACAGCTATGAGCTAGTAGAATAACAGCATTAAATAAATACCTACTAAAATCAATCAAAAACCTGTGGTTAAGGCAGTGGACAGCATGGACTCTTCAGACTTATGTTTGGGTCATGTCCCTGCCACAGACATACTGTGTGGTCCTAAGAAAATGATTACAAACCAGGTGCCAGACTCACTGAACCCACTGAAACTTCCACTGACAGATTTAGGGGCCTATACTCAAAATTGAGACTTTTCCTCCAAGCATGTTTTCATTGGTGAAAATTCCCAACTTGTCAGACCATTTTATTACAGCTACATCTAATTGTCTCTAAGTCCTAACCAACATTCCCATGAATGTCAGTGGGGAAAAGCTGTCCCTCTATCCCTGCAAGCAACATATTCCTTACTGACCTGGCTTTCTGCTTTCTGACAGGAATTTTGTACCAAAATCTTCTCCTTTGCTATAGTGCTCAGTCATGAGCACTAATCTCTAGTTTCTTCCCTCTGGTTAGTAAATTTTTTGAAATATTTAGAACATCTCAAAGATTTAGAAGGAAATATGTTTAACAATATTTTCTGAAAGAGATACCTTAAGACATGGCTTAAGAGAACCCTCTAGCATATCCTGATGTAGAGACCACACGCCATACATATATCTATACATTCACATATAATGCAAAATACCTACATAGACTCTACACCTGTAGTTCCAGTCATCTGACTGCGGTTTAAGTGATGCAATTTCACGTGTTGCTGGGCAGAGAGGTGATTCAGCTCCTATACCTGATGCAGTGCTCCAGCAACTCATTTGCTGAAAGGCAGCTACTGGGACGAGGCATAGCAGATATACTGCACATATGCAGCCTGGATATATTGCATATATTTTTTAATGTCCATGTAGTTGAGAGAGCTGAACCCTTTTCCATGAGTAAGGTCAATCTCCATATAAATGTTTAAAAAAGAAAAAATAAAAGACCATATCAAATGCATGTAACCCACACAGTATTATCTGCAGGCTTTGCTATCAACATTTTGATGTTCATTTTCTCCATTTCTGCTGTAAAATTGCCTCTTTGTGTTCAACAAGACAATTTCTCCTTTGCCTACAACCAGTAACAAATTTACTGAGAAAGTTAAAATCTCCTTTGTGTCACAATGACCTGATGAACCCACCTCTGTTTATACAAGGGCAAAATGGACTTAGGCAAGGCATTCCTGATCTGTGTGTGAATGCCAGCAGCTCGCAGAAAGACAAAACCCAGACTGGTTCACTAATATCAAGAATATCAGTTCTTCAGCAGAATTTAATTTTTCCTAGGTGTTTGTCAAGCTTCCAGAAGACAGCTCCTTTTGAAGCAACGTTTCACTTTAGAGGAAGCATCACCAATTAGCACTGTAGTCAAATAACATCAGGCAATTCTACCTGCATGGGACACTGTGGTGTTCAAATATGTCCTAAGAATATTTTCATTCAGCCAAGGCACAAAACCTTTCAGTGGCACTTCCCAAATATAGTTGCATTTGTTGTTTTGCTCAGTGCATTAAAAAGCTGCTCAGAAAATCTGGACCATTGCTACCCACCTGATTCATTGGGCTGGAAAATGTATTTTACAGATACCTGCTTTCTTGGCATCAAGTATATATTTAATGGAACCTTCTGTACCTAAACAACATCTGCAAGGAAATAGGGGGGAAATCTTTTTATTTTCATATTCCCTGGACAAATTACAAGAT